CTTACTTGATTCAACAGTGGAAAACAATTCTAGGCTAATGCATAAAACAACTTGAGCAATTCCTCACATGCCAACCCACCATAGTCTCCTTCCCAATGGATCTGTTGTGGTTACCCCTTTTCACCAATATTCACACCAGTTATATTAACTCAGGATCAGATAAACACTCCTAACCACCTAACAAGAACATCTATTTTTTTATGACAGGCTTTCACACGAAGTCTTATTTGATGTCTGTGTACACCTAGAACTCGACAGGCAGCGCGCAGCTATTAACTACGGGGATAAACAGTGTTTAGGACTTGTAACGAGTTCTATTTAAAAGCTACTTTACAACAAACTTTATCAAAACAAGGGCACAAGCTCTAACTCTGTGACAATCTATACACCACCTACACAAGCATGTACATGTCCTTAGTAATGAGGTACCCAGCTGAGGAAGGAGTCAAGTGACTGATTTGGGTCCTTGCCAAAGAGAAAGGCTGTATGTTACTTATTACCAAATCTTTGCTCAACTGTCAGCCTTCAGCTCCGTTACTGATCACAGCAGGGCTGACACTGCAAACACAGGTGGAGTGTAGGACGGACATTGTCTTTTCCGCATGTGCTAACAAACAACCCAAGCTGCTGGAAAAGAGAGAGAGATAGTTAAAGGTGCCTAACTGAGGGTACTTAATGTCACCCGCAGTGAGGATTCCCAGGTCTTCTCCTTTTCTCGGCTTTCAGGAAGTGATGTGCTGAAGGAGGCAGGCCATTTTATCCCCTTTCTGCTGTGAGTTCAATTTGGTTCCTCTGCTTGGAGAAGCTGGCATGGACCAATCAAACGGTGACCCAGGCTTGTGATGAAGGCTGGAAATGTCCAACCAAAATGAAACTTGTGTCTTCTCGCCACCCAACCACAGGCACGTCTTGTGAGTTCTTACATGGGGGTCTCAAATTCCAGTCTCTTTTGTGCAGAACTCCTGGTGTCACATCAGGTTGTGTAGGACAAATTAGGCCATAGCCAGGAGTACGACCATTCTGGGACAGCCAGTGAACACCTGCTGCTCAGCTCGGCTCAGCAACCTCCTTTCACAGATTGCTTTCCATGGGCCCCTCTTGCAATGCACTCCGATCACCACTGCACGCTATGCTGGCCAAGCTGCCGTTTGCCCTCGGCACTTCGCTGGCTGCTGAAATGTTTAACTTTCAAAGGGAGTTTTATACAAAGTCTTGCCACATTGTTTGAATGTGTTGGAACAGTCCACTCTGCAGGACCATGGAGTCACTTGAACTGTTGTTCTCCGGCAGGCTGGAGCAGCTCCATAAACCTGCCATCCTGGTCTCCTTATTTTACAATTGTGGCAGGATCTCTGTGTGTGGCTGAGCTGGGCCTGTGCCGCATTGATCCAGAAGCTACATTGCTGATTATTTAACTCTGTGACCAACTGTTCTTATCAGACATTTTTCAGTTTCTACCCCTTTTATTTCCTGCCTTGCCAGCCCAGGTGTATTTCACGTATTTGTGGTAACATGAGCGCGCTTGATGGCAAATATTATCCTTACTTCTTAATTTTATCACTAATTAAAAAAATCAATACGAATGCAACCCCTTTATTTTCCTAACAGGATCACCCCTCGGCAAACCCTGGCATAATGTTCACAGTGTCTTGCCCAAAGCATTACCAACTTCTAGCTGACTTTCCTTCTCAATTTAACGTCATTTCATCAAAGTATTTTAATCCGTCAAATACACCGTCAGTTCCCCCCATGTGGAGAGAGGATTTCAACTTGGATTTTCCCACCCCAGGAGAGTGCTTGAAGCACTAAACTGTTAGAGAGACACCACCACTGTCAGTGACTGGGACATGGGTGGCCGTGCCTAGCAGTTAGAGCAGGATCAGGCCCAGTGGTTGGAGCAGGCATCAGTAGCCAGGAATCAGAGTCCAGGCTCAGAGCAGGAGTCAGAGGCCAGATGCCAGAGCCCAGCGTCACAGCCGGAGTCAGGAATTGGAGCCGAGGGTCAGAACCAGGTTACCTGGCGTGAGGCAAGGCTGGGTCCAAGGCAGGAGCAAGGCTTGGAATGAGCAGGAGCCATCTCAGCCACGGGTGAACGCTCTGAGCAGCTGCTGATCTGCTGCTGTTGCTGGACGGAAGAGCTGCTCTGTTGACTCTTCCAGCCAATCAGGCCGTGGAGCCAATTAGGCAGCCTGCTACAGGCTGACTGTGCTCATTA